CGGCTGGCACTCACCTCTCCAACTTTGCCCGCGTGTGCGCCACAATCGTCCAGGACGGTGATGTTGATCTGTTGTTTGCTTGCGAAGCCGGTGCGTCTCGGCAAGGCCTTAGCAGAGCGATGGCTGACGCGGCAGACATCCTGACGAAACCGTTTGGCGACAATGTCTGTTTCTCCGAGGTTGACAACTACCTATGCCTGTGGGGATTCGGCGGTGCTTCTCAGCCTGTCGATGTTTCCCTGCAGGAAGACAAGCATATCCATCACATCCCAATCGGGAGACATGTGGACGCGGCGATCACACGGTTCGATGTGCAAATAGAAGGCCATGGTAGAATTCATTTGATTACTGCCAACTTGCACATCGTTTGCGGAGCGAAGCCGCCGTCGGTGCTGACCAAACAACGTGCGGTCAGGCTCCTCCGACTCTACCTGGACAGCCTTCCAGGTCCGCAAGTGGACGCACCAGTTGTCCGCGTCATTGTCGGCGACAACAACCTGACGTCCACGCAGACCCGCGTTGCTCTGCAGCGCCGCACCGATGACGAGCAGTTGCGGGATGCGTTTGCGCACCCAAGTGATCGCCAAGGTGACAGCGTGGCGGTCTCTGGGGCCACTGCGCAGTTCAAGCCCATCGCTGTTGGCGCATCGTACCAGGGCCGCGGCATGCGCAACGATTCCCACGACGCTGTTGCAATCACCGTTACTCTCCCTGGTGCTTCTCAGCCTAAGGAGACAAAGAAGCGGAATATTGCCTTAGGAGATTTCGTCGTCTCCGATACTGCTTCAGACAAAGCCGAAATTGAAGTCGACTGGGAACCCTTGCCAAGCCGTTCTCCTTCGCCAGAATGGCAACCCATGCCAAGCCGCTCGCCTTCGCCGCAGCGCAACGGGCTCGACGATGAAGTTCATCAGCGCGCGCAGGAAGTGCATCGTGAGATGAGGGAGTACTGGGGGCAGATGTACGAGGAGAGCTACGATCCCAAACTTCTCCATCAGCTCAGCCTTCTGCTTTTCATGAAGAGGGCAGACGCTGGCGCCCCTCAGCCTGGCGATGACTGCGACGCAGCCTATGCGTCGCAGGAAGAGACTGCTCGGGCCATTCAGGCTGTTCTACGGATCCGCCACGACTTCCTCCGAAGCAAGAACATTACGAACACGCGCCATGTCCTTACTGAGGAGGAGCGCGGGGAACTTGTCAAACGTGCCCGAGAAGAGTACGAAAATTCTGCCTTCCAGGTTCAGCTGCTGAACCGAGATGCCGAGACAAGGAAAGCGAAGGGAAAAACGTCAGCACAGCAGGAGCGCGGTGCTGATCAGCCTGCGAGCAAAGGCAAGGGAAAAGGCAAGGGCAAGGAACAAGGCATTGGCAGCCTCCGTAAGTTCGTCAGAGAGCAAAAGCGCAAGCGATGGCGTCGGCACCTGCAACGCGTTTCCGGGGCGAAGCAGATCTGGGAGGTCCTCGCCTTTTCCGGCCGCTTCGACGTTGACATGCTCAAGCGAGCCTTGCACGTCGAGCCCAGTGATGCACCCGCAGAGCTCGCCGATCGCAACCAGGTCTCTCATGAAGAGCGCCGCCGCCTCCATCGTGACAAGGCGGAGGCCATTGCGCGCTGCGACGAAGGTGAGCGGCTCTATCGCCATCGGCAAGAGGTGCAGCGTCGCGGTGCTAGTCAGCCTGCAGGCGATGCCACTTTCAGGCAATGGGATGCACTGCGGAAGTGGGAGAGCGGCGAGTTGCTCAAGAACCGCAATGCGGCGATTGTGGTGCTGGGACATGGTCGTCTGCGCACGAAAGAGGGTGATTACCTTGACATCGGCGGCAGCACAGGAGGTGGATCCTGGCGCATCATCGATTCTTGGCAGCCTCCAGATTGGCGCGATTTCCTGGAAGACGAGCACGAGAGGCGATGGATCCAGGCCTGCTTGCCCGCGGTGCTTCTGAGCCTGCGGTGTTGGAATGCTACTTGCAAAAGTGATTCCCTGCGCGGCCGCGCACAGCTTCTCTGCTGAGGAAGACGAGGAAGAGGAGGAAGCGAGGGGGGGGGGCGCGCAGGAGGAAGAGGAGGAGGACGGGCAAGAGGAGGGCGGAGGCCGACGAGGATGAGGTGGAGAAGGAGGGGGGGGCTCTGTCTGCCAGTCTCTGTGGTGCTTCTAAGCCTGCAGGCTTGCCTCGCTGTCCTCTTTTGTTCGTCGCCAGACTGGCGCGATCTAGTTCCAAAAGTGCTGCGCTGCACGGCCGCCTTCAGCCTCTGCGCTGACAGGGCGAGGAGGAGGAGGAAGACAAGGGAGATGACGAGCAGGAGGAGGAGGAGGAGGGGCAAGAGGAGAGCGGAGGCGAAGGAGGATGAGGTGGAAGAGGACGGGGGGGCTCTGTCTGCCAGTCTGCGCGGTGCTTCTAAGCCTGCAGGTTTGCTTCGTTTTCCGCTTCTGTTCGCCGCCGGACCGGCGTGATCTAGTTCCAAAAGTGATGCGCTGCGCGACCGCGCTCAGCTTCTCTGCTGAAGAGGACGAGGAGGGGGAGGAAGAGAAGGGGGAGGACGAGCAGGAGGAGAAGGAGGAAAAGGAAGAGGAGGGCGGAGGTGGAGGAAGATGAGGTGGAAGAGGAGGGGGGGCTCTGTCTCTGAGTCTCTGTGGTGCTTTTAAGCCGGCAGGGTTGCCACGCTTGTTCGCTTGTGATCGCCGCCAGACTGGCGCGATCTTCGAGAAGACGAACAGGAGAGGTGATGGATCCAACTCTCCATGCCCGCTGTGCTTGTCAGCCTGCAGTATTGGAAGACTACTTCCAAAGGTAATGATCTGCTCGGCCGCGTTGGCACGGTGCCTGCGAGTGTCTGCGATGCTTCTTAGCTTGCAGCTTTTGCCCGTTTTCTCGCTCCGTACGCTGCGCTCATTTGTGCTCCTCGTGCGCGTCCGAAAAACACTTCGAAAGAACGCAGCCATCAAACGCAGCATTCATTGATACATAAGCTCTACTTTAAACGATCATGGTCATCATCGCATCATCCACTTCAAACGCTTCCGTGAGCACGCAGCGAACGTAGATGCCAGAGTTTCATTTGAAACTGCATTCGTTGATACCGAGTGCTCGTTTAAACTCACATCAGTCGATTGCAGACTTTGATGCAAAAGTCTACAATGAGAGTCCGAGTTGAATATTAATGAAATCGCCATCTGAATCTAAATGATGGTGCACACATATATGCTTTTACACATTGCTGATAGGTTGCTTCGCTGGGATAATTATATATATACAGTGCATACCACGAAGGTTGCGCCGCATAACTTTGATCAGATTTGTTGGGCAACGTAGAAGGCCGGGGGGCTTCCGAGTCTTCTGGGCAGGCCCGCCCATTCGCATTTCCCCCCTTGGCTCGCCGCCGAGAAGGGATGCTGGTGACCTGCTGCCTCTCCTGCGCCATAATTCTTTACGCTTCGCGTATCCCCACCAGCCCATCTCACAGCAGCAACTCTTGCGAAGCATGCCGACAGTCGTGTTTTTCAGGCGTGTGTCCGCTTGGCCCCGCATATCTCCCCTGTTCCTCCTTCCTCCCGCCTCCTTGTACATCCTCCTTGTGGGGGGAGCGGGAGAAGGACGAGGCGGAGGAGGAGGGAGAGAAAGCGCTCCTCGTGATTTGAGTCGTTTGGGGTTTCTCGTCCTGGTGTGAGTCGTTCGGGCCCTTCTTCCTGGTGTGAGTCGTTCGGGCTCTTCGTGGTGTGAGTCGTTCGGGCTCTTCGTCCTGGTGTGAGTCGTTCGGGCTTCTCGTGGTGTGAGTTGTTCGGGCCCCTCATCCTGGTGTGAGTCGTTCGGGCCCCTCCTCCTGGTGTGACTCGTTCGGGCTCCTCGTGGTGTGAGTCGTTCGAGGCCCGCGTCGTGGTGTGAGTCGTTCGGGCTCCTCGTGGTGTGAGTCGTTCGGGCGCCTCGTCCTGGTGTGAGTCGTTCGGGCCCCTCCTTATGGTGTGAGTCGTTCGGGCTCTTCGTGGTGCGAGTCGTTCGGGCCCCTCGTCCTGGTGTGAGTCGTTCGGGCTCCTGGTGGGGCCTCTTGGGGGCCTCTTGGAGGCTCTTGGGGCCTCTTGGGGGCCTCTTGGGGGCCTCTTGGGGGCCTCTTGGGGGCCTCTTGGGGCGTCTTGGGGCCTCTTGGGGGCCTCTTGGGGGCCTCTTGGGGGCCTCTTGGGAGTCTCTTGGGGCCTCTTGGGGGCCTCTTGGAGGCCTCTTGGGAGCCTCCTGGGGGCCTCTTGGGGCCAGCTTGGGGCCTCTTGCGGCCTCCTCAGAAGCGCAAATGAGCGCTGCCCCCTGAGAAAGACAAAATGAGCCTAAAACCTTCGTAAAATCAATGATTTTGCTATGAAGGAAGAGGAGCGCTGCCCCCTCAGAAGGGCAAAATGGGGCCGAAACCGTAGTAAAATCAATGATTTTCGCTTCAAAGAAGAGGAGGGGGCTGTATCTTCCCCCCCCCGTCGGGGCCAGAATCCTCGTGAGGGGTGTCGTTTTTTAGCCCTCCCAGGAGTCGAAATTGACCCCCCTGACGACCCGCGGCCCCCCCTCTCCAGGCCCAGGGGGAGGGGGTAGGGGGAGTGGTAAGCGCCTCCCCGAAGGGGAAGAAGGGGGGTTTGAGGACAGAGAGAGCTCCGTAAACCACTCACGCCCAAAGGGCTGGTGGGATTATGTCCATCTGGGCCAGCCCGTCGATGGGCGACGCCACTACGCCCCCGCGTGCCAGCACCGCGGACAGGCCAAGGGTGCCCCCGTGGGTTTGCACAGGGACGCGACGCCGAGCGCACGAGGACTGGCATACAGTCAGCACGCTGAATCAAGGACCGCGTCGGGCTCAGGAGGGGTTCTGGTATTCGGGCCAGTCGCGTGGTGCAGGTCGGGGAGACCATTCGTGGCCGAGGCTTGCCGTGGCTGGAAGAAACCCTTTGTTCCTTACTCCGCGTTGTTCAGGGTCGCGCGGCGGCTGCGCTCTGGGAAACGAAGGGTAGCGATGGCGGCAGGTCCGCAGCGCATTTTTTGCCCGAGATCCGAGTCGCTGCGTTCGCAACCTTCTCAGGGCGCTTCTGCATGACCGTCGCGGCGCCGCGCTACTCGGGGCCGCCTCGTGTGGCGGCCGCGTGGCCGCCACTCGGCAGCCCGAGCGGGACAGCTGGGGGCGCGGCGAAGGGCGGTTTCCAGCGCCAGCGCCGCCCCACCGGCTGCTGGGGCTCCAAGCTTCTCTCCGCGGCTTCGGACACGCCGGGGCAGGGGAAGGGCCAACTCTCCGAGCCGAGGTCCTGGAGCGACATGACCGAAGATACGAGTCACGACGATTTCATGGGCCAGGGCCGCCCCAGCGGCTGCTGGGAATCTGGGATTCTCTCCGCGGCGCCGGACACGCCAGGTCAGGGGAGCGGCCATGTCGCCGAGCCGAGGTCTTGGAGCGACATGGCCCAGGACGCGACGGAGGATGATGTGCATTGCCAGCGCCGCCTCAGCGGCTGCTGGGGCTCTGGGTTTCACTCCACGGTGCCAGACACGCCAGGGCAGGGGAACGGCCACCTCTGCGAGCAGAGGACCGCGGTCGGTTGGCCATCCCGTGCAAGCAAAAAGCCAGGGGGGGGGCCGAGGGGACGACCAAGGCGTGCCCTCCAGAGTCTCGGAGGCAGCCCAGGCTGGCCTTTCTGGCCAGTCGGTTTTGCTCGCCTGGTTCCGGGAGGGTCTGTCTGGTTGTTCTCTTGTCCTTCCTGCTTGGCATCGCTCGGACGTGTGCATTTTTCCTTCGGCGAGGACCATCGAGGAGCATCCTTGATCATTTGGCGAAAAAAACACGCACGAAACCGAAAACTATCCCAGTGCGACCCTACCTAGGAGTTGGAACCCCTAGGAAAGCAGCATTAGTAGTGACAGTAACGCTAAGCTAAAGCTAAGCTGAAGCTAAGCTAAAGCTAAGCCACAGCTAAGCTAAAGCTAAGCTACAGCTAAGCTAAAGCTAAGCTAAAGCTAAGTTAAAGCTAAGCTAAAGCTAAACTAAAGCTGAGCTAAAGCTGAGCTAAAGCTGAGCTAAAGCTAAGCTACAGCTAAGCTAAAGCTAAGCTAAAGCTAAACTAAAGCTAAGATAAAGCTAAACTAAAGCTAAGCTACAGCTAAGCTACAGCTAAGCTACAGCTAAGCTAAAGCTAAGCTAAACGCTAAGCGCAACGCTAAGCGAAAAGCTAAGCGAAACGCTAAGCTACAGCTAAGCTAAAGCTAAGCTAAAGCTATAGCTATAGCTAAGGCTAAAGCTAAAGCTAAAGCTAAAGCTCCCAGGGGACTGGGGGGAACCGCGGGGCGGGGACTGGGGGAACCGCCCGGGGCGCTTTGCACTGCCCGGCCCCTTTAAGCTAAGAGAGTAAGAACCCTTCTAGGCAGAGCCTAGGTAGGGAAAAACACAGGGAATGGACGTCCGAGCGATGGCCAGTCCTGGCTCTTCGCTCATGTGAAGCTTTGTCGGTTGCCGACCGCGGGCTGAGGAAGCCTGACCTCGCGACGCAGTCCCAGAGCTGCGCCGACGTGACCAGCGCTGGGCAGGAGGTGACCTCGCTGACCCCGCCCCTCCCTCCTCCCCCCCCTCTGTCGCCTCACAGCGACGACCCTCGAGGCTCGACCCGCGACCCTGGATCCTCGACGCTCGACCCTCGACCCTCGACGCTCGGCGCTCGCCTCTCCACGCCTGGCCCCGCTCGCCCCAGGAGTCGCCCGCGCCAGCGTCGCCGCTCATTTAGAAGAAAAACAACAACAAACATAAACTTTTGGCGCTCCGCGCTTATGTTCGAAGAACATTGTTTTTGTTATTCGAACATTTTTGGGGTTCGCCGCGGGCTGCGCTGGCCGGGGCCGCCGGGCGGCGCAGCTGCGCGGCGACCCCCCCGCGGCGGGCGGCGCGGGGGGGCCGCGCGGCCGCGAGGCGCCCGCCGCCGTGCCCGCGCCGCCGGGCGGCGAGGCCGCCGCCGCGCCGGGCGAGGCCGCCCCGCCGCGGGGCGGCGAGGCCGCCGAGGCTCCCGCCGAGGCGCCCCGCCGCCGGTCGGCGAGGCGCTCAGCAGGAGAGGGAAAAACACACACACACACGCACGCACACACACACACACACACACACACACACACACACACACACACACACACACACACACACACACACGCACACACACACACACACACACACACACACGCACACACACACACACACACACACACGCACACACACACACACACGCACACACACACACACACACACGCACGCACACACACACACACACACGCACACACACACACACACACACACACACACACACACACACACACGCACACACACACACACACACACACACACACGCACACACACACACACACACGCACGCACACACACACACACACGCACACACACACACACACGCACGCACACACACACACACACACGCACACACACGCACACACACGCACGCACACCACACACACACACGCACGCACACACACACACACACACGCACGCACACACACACACACACACACACACGCACGCACACACACACACACAGACACACGCACACACACACACACGCACGCACACACACACACGCACACACACACACACGCACGCACACGCACACACACACGCACACACACACACACACACACACACACACACACACACACACACACACACACACACGCACGCACACACACACACAGACGCAATTAATCCTCGATTCCCCAGAGGATATGGGGAAATATGGGAAGTGGGGGTGAAGACAAAAGCCCCGAAAATACGGGAAAATGCGGGGAACTATTTCTATTTCTGTGTATTTGTTTGTGTGTCCTGGGGCCCGTTCATCTTACTCGTAAGAGTGACCCTTCGGCGGGCCCACAGTGGCCCCCCGAACACTGGTTGGTGGGCTGGCCCCCCGCGCCCCCGGAAGCCGCGCACCAAAAGTCACTCTTGCCCAGGGTCGCTCTTGCGTGTAGTGTCAGCTTTTTGTGGTCAACAACGGCTACACCCCTCCCCAGGCTGATGAACAGACCCCGCGGAACGCAAAACTTTGTTTTTCAATCACGCGCGCCAGGGGATCGTCGCTGGCGCTGCCGAGAGGCTCGTGTACCCCCGTGGATGACAGCCTCAGAACGGTTGCCTTCCGTATAGAAGTTGTTAAATGGAGTCGTACACATCCGAGGCAAATTCGCTCCCCCTCTCAGGCGTCGTCGTCGTCGTCGTCGTTGTCGTCGTCGTTTTCTTCGTCGTCCTTGTCGTCCTTGTCGTCGTCGTCGTCCTCGTCGTCCTCGTCCTCGTCGTTGTCGTCGTCCTCGTCGTCGTCGTTTTCGTCGTCGTCGTCGTCGAGTGCACTGGGCCTGCGCAGCACCCCCCCCCCCATAGGGCATCCGCAGTGCGTCGTCGTCGTCGGCGTCGCGTCGTCGTCGTCGCCGCCGCCGCCGCCGCCTTCGTCGTCGTCATCGTCGTCGTTTTCTTCGTCGTCCTTGTCGTCGTCGTCGTCCTCGTCGTCATCCTCGTCCTCGTCCTCGTCGTTGTCGTCGTCCTCGTCATTGTCGTTTTCGTCGTCGTCGTCGAGTGCACTGGGCCTGCGCAGCACCCCCCCCATAGGGCATCCGCAGTGCGTCGTCGTCGTCGTCGGCATCGCGTCGTCGTCGTCGCCGCCGCCGCCGCCGTCGTCGGCGTCGTCGTCGTCGTCGTCGGCGTCGTCGTCGTCGTCTTCGTTTCCGTCGTGTTCGTCGTCGTCGTCGTCGCGTCGCGTCGTCGAATACAATTACAGCGGGCCTGCGCAGCCCCCCCCCCCGCAGGCATCCGATCCGCAGTGCGTCGTCGTCGCCACCGTCTGCTATCCGCCGTCCGTCGTCCTCGTCGTCGTCCTCGTTTCGTCCTCGTCCTCGTCGTCCTCCTCGTTTTCGTCCTCGTCTTCGTCGTCGACGACTATCTACAGAGTCCACGACTGGGGGGGGAGGAGAATTGCCCGCCTTGCCCGGGTCTTACAAAAGGCTGGGGAAGGAAACGGGCCGTGCGAAACATACTGCGCGCAACTGGTTTCGGTAGCTTCGCCGAGGGGCCATTTCTCGATGCATGGCCGTGTTCGGCGCCAGGGGGCGTTCGGAACATTCGCAATGTGAGCTGTTGGGCAAATCCCTGCTTGGCCACGCCCCCCTTTCGTCCAGCCCGCCTCGTTCTCGGGCCCGCCAGGCAGCTGGCGCCATCCTGGATGCGGCCAGGGCTAGGGAAGCGCATCGGTTCGACAGAAAAGAGCACAGAAAGTGCGGGGGCGAGCGCCGACAATAGGTCTTCTTCATTTCGAGCAGGTTTCGCCATGGTTCACGGCCCCTGCTTCTGCCGCGTGTGCCTCCCGCCCCCCTCCCCTCCCCCAGTCTGTGCTGCCTGTCGCCTTCCCGCTGGCGGTTGGGCGTCGGCGCTAATGACCGGCGCCGCCGCCGTCGATTTTCAATCTAGCGGGCGCCACCCCCAGCGATTCGCCCGAGCGGAGAAGGTATTTGTGTTTAAGCATGCGCCCCCCTCGGATTTGTTTTGTCGCAAGCTGACATCAATTCGCCGAGAGGCCGCCGAAGCGCCGCGCGAGGCCACCCCGCCGCTGGGCGGCGACGCCGCCGACGCAACGCGGGGCGAGCGCGCGCCACCGCAGGGCAACGCCGCAGCGACTCCGCGCGCGGCGCCAGTCTCGCAGGGGCCCGCGGTTGGCGCCCCGGCGTTGCAGGCGCTGGCCGTCGCCGCTCGTCGTCACCGCCGCCGTTCGTCGACGCTCATCGCCGCCGCCATCGCCACCGTCGTCGTTGTTGTTGTTGGCGTCGTCGTTGTGGCCGTCGCCCGTCGTCGCCGCTGTCGCCGTTGCACTCGCCGTCGTCGTCGTCGTCGTCGTCGTCGTCGTCACCGTCGTCGTCGCCGCCGCCGCCGCCGCCGTTGCCGCCGCCGCCGTCGTCGTCGTCGTCATCGTCGTCTACGTCGTCATCGTCGTCGTCGTGTACGTCGTCGTCATGGTCGTGGTCGTGGTCGTCACCGTCGTCGCCTTTGAGCCTGTCCTTTTCGTTATGCCTCTCTTTTACCTCCCATTTATTATTCCCCTTGTTGGCTATCGTTGTTGATGCACGCGTCATGTGGTCACACATTCAGCTGGTGTGGGTCTCTTGTTTCCCCCTCGTCATCCCATTCTCTTCCAGAAGAAGAGGCAACTGAAAAGGAGGAGGAGGAGGAAGAGGAGGAGGAGGAGGAGAGGAAGAAGAGGAGGCGGACCAGTGTAAACCCAAGAATCATCAACGATGTTGGAAGAAACCCTCCCTCCAAGCTCTCTCTCTTTTTTTTTTTGTGTTTCTCTCTCTCTCTCCATAGGTCCCTGGAGCGGATCATTTCCATTGAGGGGACTGCCTCGTTGGAAGACAACCGTTTGAATATTCTGAAGCATGCCGAAACATTATTCTCGGGATTCTCGGTCAACCTGATTGTCGCGTCTTGACGATATTCAATCGTGCCAAAGCGCCACTTCACCGCGAATCAACATAACTGTTGCGCCCGCATTACCATGAATTCTTCAAGAACACAAGTTCTGGTACGTTGGTCATGGGAATCCGTGTACCCCGTGCAATTATTCTAAACAAACGCGCTCGGCGCTAAGGCGAGAGCCACATTCTGGAAAGGAGCCGCCTTCAATCCGTGAAACGTTCGCGCATGTTTTTGAAACGAACGTACGCGGCGCTAAGGCGACAGCCACATTTTGAAAACGGGTCGCCCTCAACCCGCGAAGCTCTTGCAATTGTTTAAAAACAACGTTCGCGGCGGTGAGGCGAGAGCCACATTTTGAAACGGATCGCCTTCAATTCGTGAAATTCCTTGCAAATTTTGAAAACGAATTGTCGCGGCGCTATGGCGAGAGCCACGTTTTGAAAACCCACCCGCCCTCAATCCGTGAAACTCTTTCAAGGTGTCAAAACGAATGTGCGCGGTGCTAATGCGAGAGCCACATTTTGAAGGCGATCCGCCCTCCATTTGTGAAGCTCTTGTTATTTTGAAGCTTCAGAATCATACATCGTGAGGAAGTCTCGAGCGAAACGCCGGGGCCGCCCTAAAAATTGGCTTCGGGGGGCGACAGGGAGAAGTTATTTATAAGGAAAAGACATGGAGGAGGAGGATGTTGATAAGGGTTGTTCCAGAGCGATCTAAAATCAATATTGCTTCTAAGTCTCCCCGCTGGGCCGCTTCGAAAGTCCGTCGGGACGCAGGAAAGCGCGAATCGCAGTCCACGCTAGCTGACTGGTGCAGGAAGGTTTCTGAAGGCATAGCTAGCATGGCAAGGTTTGGCCGTGGTGGAGAGAGGAACCCCAGAAAACGGGGAGACGTTTTGCAGGATCAGGCTTGTCTGGAACGGACGTTGGCGTGAGGTTCGTCGATATGACAGCGAGGACGGCACTTCGAACGCTATCCTCTCTTGCGAGCCTCGGCGCAAGCCAACAGAGTCTGAGCGAGAAACGCCCGAATCAAATTCGCCTTAGCAGCAAGTGACGCACTGAATATTGAACATATTCAGTCAGCTTCCCCGGGAATCGACATTGGCCGGCCTCATTCGAAGCCAAAAGCGAACGATCTGGATCGTTGGTCGCATCGATCCAAGATCGGGAGACTGCTTATCCAGCGGCGCTATCATGGCCCGTAGTAGTTCTCTACATTGACGTGGCGAAGGTCTCTGGCTTGCGCAATGGGAAAACGCCGAGGAGGAGGGCGAAGAAGGAAGGAACAGGAAGGGGAAGTAGGGAGGGCGAGAACGAGGAGGTGGAGGAGGAGGAGGAGAAGGAGGAGTGAGGCATGCGTCACTAACCCACTGCAGGGGAGGAAGAGGGTGAAGGAGGAGGGAGGGGAAGAGGGGTGGAGGAGTGAGGAGGAGGAGGAGGAGGAGGAGGACGAGGACGAGGACGAGGACGAGGAGGACGAGCAGGAGGAGCAGGAGGAGCAGGAGGAGCAAGAGGAGCAGGAGGAGCAGGAGGAGCAGGAGGAGCAGGAGGAGCAGGAGGAGCAGGAGGAGGAGCTGGAGGAGGAGAAGGGGAGGAGGAGCAGGAGGAGGATCAGAGGAGGAGGAGGAGGATCAGGAGAGGAGGAGGAGGAGGAGAGGAGGAGTTAGGGATGCGTCACTCAGTGGCCCCACCGCTCGCAGCGACAGGAGGAGCAGGAGGAGGGAGGAGAGGAGGAGGAGAGGAGGAGGAGGAGGAGTTCATTTTGGATGCGCCCCCCAGTGGCCCCACAGCAAGCAGCGGCAGGACGAGGGAGGGAGGCCCTGGAGAAGGGAGAACGGGGGGAGCATGGCCCCTCAGGTGCCAGAGATGCTGCGTGCGCCCACGGGCCGGCCCCGAACGGCCGCGGGCGCCCAGCGGGCCCGCCCCGACCGGCCCGCGGGCGCCCAGCGGGCCCGCCCCGCACGGCCCGCGGGCGCCGCCAGGGCCGGCGCCAAACGGCCCGCGGGCGCCCCCCGGGCCGGCGCCGTGCGGCCCGAGCGTTCCCCCCGCTGCGACGCAGGCCGCCGAGGGGGCTACCCGACGGCGACGACGACGACGGCGACGATGACTAGCGGGCCAACCTCAGAGGGCCTTTACTGCTGCCCGCCCCCCCAAGCTCTCGGCTGGCAGTGAAACTCTTCCTTCCCTCCTCTTCCTTCCCCTCCTCGCCCTCTCCATCGTCTCCCGCACAAGAAGAGTGATGATGTTGCTGATGATGATGATGATGATGATGATGATGATGATGATGATGATGATGATGATGATGATGATGATGATGATGATGATGATGATGATGATGATGATGATGGTGATGGTGATGGTGATGGTGATGGTGATGGTGATGGTGATGGTGATGGTGATGGTGATGGTGATGGTGATGGTGATGGTGATGGTGATGGTGATGGTGATGATGACGGTGATGGTGATGGTGATGATGATGGTGATGGTGATGGTGATGATGATGATGATGATGGTGATGGTGATGGTGATGGTGATGATGATTAATCTGATGATGGTGGTGATGATGATGATAATGATGATGATAATGATGATGATGATGATGATGATGATGATGATGATGATGATGATGATGATGATGATGATGATGATGATGATGATGATGATGGGAAGGATGAGGATGAGGAGGAGGGCCATGAAGCCCTGAAGCGGCTTTCTACGAGTACGATTACGACGACGGCGGCTGCGACGACGACGATGGACCAGGGACGACGACGACGACGACGACGACGACGGCGGCGGCGGCATGAGCTGTGGCTTCCGCAGGGTTTTCCAAATGAGTAAGCCCGCGCAAAACAAATATTTAGTTTCCAATTGTTGGGATGTGGTTTAAGACTATTTGCGTTTGCGTCCCCTGGTGTCTCGCCCCTGGTCCCTCGTCTCCCTCGTCCCTGGTCCATCGTCCCCGGCCTCTCCGCCCTCGCCCCTGGCCCCATCGCTTCCCCCTCGTGCCTGGCCCCTGGTTACCCTGTCCATCGTGCCTCCCTCGTCCCTCGTCCCTCGTCTTCCCCCCTAGGGCTTCTTCCCTTAACCAGATTATCCTCGAAGAACAACCGTATGATGGCGGCCCGCCGGCTGGGCTGGTTGACCTGGAAGCTTGGTCAGTGTTCCTCCTCCTCTTCCTCCTCCTCCTCCTCCTTCTCCTCCTCCTCCTCTTCCGCTCAAGTGACATCTCGGCTCAGGCCTGTTTGGGCTGTAGCAGGCCTGCAGCCCGGGGGACCGATTGCCGCGTACCGTCAAGGGTGGGACCGCCGAAGGGCGCCCTGACCTTGGCCTGCACTTGAGGGGGGGCGTAAGGAGCCGCCGTAGGAGCGCAATCGGTGAACAAGCGTAACACAACACTCTTCCGCTTGGTGTAGCAAGCAACGGCGCAGGTGGAGTATTGTCCTGTCTGGTGGTTGTCATCATCTGCTACAGTGACAGGGGTCCCCCCAAACCGCTTGGGGAGTGCATGTTCCCCACTCAGAGCTTGCCTCTGTAGGGGCCCTCGCGGATTCATACTGTTAGGTGAGGTGTGTTACCGATTCCCGCGGCCCGCCCGGGCGCCTGGGTGCCTTATAGTCCTATAGCCCCACAGCCCAGTAGCCTTGTAGCTATATAACCCACCAGCCCTATAGCCTTGTAGCCCTACAGCCCTCGAGCCCTATAGCTCTTTAGCGCTATCGCCCTATAGCCCTATAGCCCTATAGCCCTATAGCCGAATCGCCCAATAGCTCTGCAGCCCCGTAACCCTATAGCCCTATAGACCTATAGCCCAATAGCCCTGTAGCCATATGGCCCAATTGCACTATAACCCTAAAGTTCTAGAGCTCGATATGCCTGTAGCCCTATACCCCCAGAGCCTTATATCCCTATAGCCCTATAACCCCATAGTCCTATAGCCCTATAGCCCCGTAGCCCTATAGACTCATAGCCATATGGCCCTATAGCCCCAGAGCCCCCTAGCCCTACAGCCCTGTAGCCCTATGGCCCGATAGCCCTCTAGCCGTTTAGCTCTATAGACCTATAGCCCTATGGCCCTATAGCCCAACAGCCCCATAACCTTATAGCCCCACAGCCCCGTCGCCCTATAGCCCCATAGCCCTGTGGCCCTGAAAAGATGCTGATTGGAGCTTTTCTTCGGTGTCCTAGATTTCCAAGTGCTTTGAGCAGCTCAGGTGGTGGATTGGGAAAGTTTGCCCTCCACGCGTGCTCAGCGTGGCGGGATTTCAAGGGCGGTGGCGGGCCGGAGCGAGAGAGGCGCGCTCGTTCTTCGTGCAGCGCCCCGCCATGTTCGCCCTGTTCGTGATCGTTGTTGCCGTGTTGTCCGCAACAGTGCAAGTTTCTCCCACCGCCGCCTGAGGAAGGTATTTTGGTTCCTTCTGGCCGATGGAATGGCTTGCACAGTTCTCTGCCACTCGCACCGTTTTGATCAAATCTTTTGTGGAGTCCAAGTGTAGCTGGTTTTCTCCAACCGTAGTTCTCAACTACAAGGGATTCAGCGTCACGTTTCAAGCCGTGGTTTGGGCCCATGGCGTCCAGTTGGTGGTATCCAGTATGGCTGTCAATATCTTTTTCAAGCCGTGGCTAAGGCCCATCGCGCGCAGTTGGCGGCATGAGGCAGTGGCGTTCATCAGCGAGGTTGTCAACCAGGACACGTTTTGCAGGTTGGTGCCGCAGTCGTCAGGGACATGACCACCTCTGGCCTAGGCTTCGTCAAGGGTGCAGAGCTTCATCTGGCTGGCCCTAGCGTGGGTCTGCGGGCGCGGCCTGCATCTCCTGGCCCCCGCGACGACGCGCATGGACCCTCTCCTCGCGGGGCGGGAGACGGGGGCTTCGCGGGCAGTCGCGGGCGGCCCGCGGGGGCATTGGACGCTTGATCGTTGGCACTGGATCTGCCGACGGATAAGATCGGCGCCAGCGCGGCGCGGCCCCCTCTCGCCCTCTCGACGCAGCCGCGATCGGTCTTGCCCCCAGATCGGCTCTCGACCGGGAGTGGGGAGATCCCCGGGAACCCCAGGCGACCAGCAGACCCTGCCCAGGACCAGTCCCAGGCGTTTCCGAGCCCCCCGACCCTCACCCCGCTTCCGCCCCCTCCACTCCCCCTCCTTTGTCCTCCCTGCGACCGGGGCAGACGCGCCAGGCGCTGGCCGACTGCGACGAGCAGGTGATGCGTTAAACGGGGGCTTTTCCAGCCGCTGACAGATTTGGAACCTGCGCAGGGCACGCAAGTGGCAGTCCTCTGCCTTCCCGCTCCAACGCGCGCAGCAGAGTCCACCGCGAGGCCCTCGAGCGCGCCCCTCGCTTCCAGTACCCCCTTCACCCTGCCCTGGGTGGCGTGGTTCCCGGACAGGCTGACCGCGGACACGTTTTTTTCTCCCGCACACGTATTGGCCGCATGGTTCTTCGGCCACCGCAGACCGCATCTTCCTGGCCTGGATTCTTCAAGACGGCGACCTACTGGCCTGGCATGGCGGATGGGCGCCGTGACCATTACAGCTGCTCGCCCTGCATTGTGCTGTCCTTTGGACCACCGCTACCGCGCATGCCGCAAGGCCGCGCTGGGCTGGCGTGCCCCCGCGGATCAGAAGCCCAGCCACGACCGTCATCGATGCTGCCTTAAGCGGCGGAGAGGTGCAACCTCGGCGGCAGGCCCCCGCGCGAGGACGATGGTGTCGACCTCCGACCCAACCTTGACAACGACAGCTTCTACCATCTCGAGAGGAACGACACCTTGCGCGAGCTCCTCCTGGGCAGGCTCCATGAAGATAGCGAACATGGCCCCGTGCGCCTCCCCGACGTTGGCGCCGCACTTGCCTGGGCGCGCAGCCGCGCGAGGAGCGCGCCCGCAACGCTGGGCGTCAACGCGCGCAATGGAGAAGGACTTGCCGGCTTCCGGGACAGGCCCCCCCCCCCAGCCCCCCCCCCCGCTCTGCTGGGAGGCGATTGTTTCACCCCTGCCGACGCCTGCTGGACATGCGGATCGCGGGTGTTACGAACACCCTCTCCTGGAAGGTGTAACTCCTGCAAGCGACTAAAGTGCCCTGTACGACTTGCTGCTGGACGCGACCCAGGCGCGTCGGACAGCACTTCAGACGGCTGCGACTTCACCAGAGCTCCCGCGCGCGTCCTCGGCGAGCTCGGCTGCGCTTCGCCCCTCAACCGCCGCCGCCGCCAGATGTGCGCCTTGTGGGCACGAGGGCCTTGCTGACTACAATGCTACTACTTGGCTTCTCGCGGAGTTGTTGAGGGCGTGGGGAACCGTGCCAGCGGGCCCGCGCAACCCCCATCACGCGGGGCAGCCTGGGGAGCCCGGCCCGTCTGACTCTCTCGCTAGACTTCAGGGTTCGACAGCGGAGCTGCTGCCAACCTCTGCGCTGCCATCAGAGCTCGCCTGGCCGCCGCCCCCCATTTCGCGGAATGGCCCCCAAGCGCTTTTCGCGCTCGGAAGCCCCACTCCTCTCCCTGCGCCTCGGGACTACTCGGCCATGGATGATGACTCTCCCCCAGCCGAAGGTGAGCTGGAACGCGAGGGACGAACCCGCTCCGGAGTATCGTGGTTCCGGCGCTACGGTCGCATCCTTCTAGATGGAGACGCCCGCCCGGCCGCCCCCGGGCCGCGCCGTAACCTGGCGAGCCAAGCCCCCCCAGCGGATCGAGCTGCCGCTATGGAAGCATTCGACGGATTGGCCGTTTTAGCAGGAGTCAGAGCGTGAATTACCTACCCCGCTTTCGCTTCCAGGCAAAACCAAGTCATACCACGCGCCTCCTCGTCAAGCGGCCTGACCAGTACAGGCCGTAGTTTGGCATCGATTGGTATCTCTTGGAAGCGAGGGTGGTCAAACGCGAGGTAGATTTGTTTGCCCCCTAAGGAGACCTCCCAGCCCTGTCCAGGCGGCTGATCCTGGGAGACCCTTTTGGCGGCGCGGCTCTGGACGTGCGACTGCGCGGGGTGCAAGATGAGAACGAGACCTCCGCGGCCCACCGCCCACAAGACCACGCGCCCCCCCAGCGGGGGCCCGACCTCGCAGCGCGAAGGCCGCGCCCAGGGCAAGGCTCCGCGGCAGTCCGTCGCAGGCGCAGCCCCACAAACTGGAAGAGACCACCATGCCTCCCTGTCCCCACGAGGCCCCCCAAGTCGCCCCCCTGGAGGCTCACCATCAGACTTTGCACGACGATGCCAGGCGCCTCCGACGCGCCAGCGCCTCTCTCCACCCCGAACCCCCTTGCCCCGCCCTCGCTGCGCGCGCCTCGTGGGCCCTCTGGTCTCGGCGCCCGCCCCCCCCCGCTGGCCTTCCCGGCCCGCGCCGCTCTCCCTATTGGCGTGGTCATTTCTTGCCCTCCACGTCGTCGTCCTCCTCCTCCTCCTCGTCCTCCTCCTCCCTTTCCTCTTCCGTCTCCGTTCCTTTCCTGATGAATATATTTTCCTTGCCGCTCCCCGAAGTCGGGCGCATCGCCTTGAACATTAGCAACAGCTTCGCGGATCGAGGGCTGACAGGTTCAACGTGTGGCTATCGCTTCAGCGCCGCGCGCGCTCGGTTTATATCATTGCATGGCCTTCAAGGATCGAATGCGGGCGGTTTTCAACATCTGGTTCTCGTTTCTGCGCCGCGCACATTCTTTTCATGTTTGAAGAGTTTCATTGATGAGGGCGGGCGGTCCTCAACATTTAGGTACCGCCTTGGCGCTGCTCGCATTGATTGAAACATGTTGCAAGGGTTTGTGAATGGGGGTGGTTAAGTTTCAAACTGTGGTTTTCGCTGTAGCGCGCACTATTTGTTTTTTAGGGGTAAACATTGCCGGCGTTTCGCGGAATCCCATGATCACACGTACCGTACATGTTGCTTTGGAACGGTTCAGGGTTGTCAATGTGCGACAGCTTCGTTGATTCGCGGTGTTGAAATCCCAGGATTGATGTTTTGGCACATTTCAGGATCGTGAAGGTGCAACAGTCGGGTTGATTCGTGGCGTTCGAGTTCCGAGAATGGTGTTTTGGCACGCTTCAGGATCTTCACACGATTGTGTCCCAATAATTTTTCTTTCTGTGGAAATGAATCATTGACGGGGCATGTGAAGACGGAGTCTTGGGAAAGTGTATTCCAACATCGTTGATGGATGTGGTGCTTGTATTGGTCCTCCTCCTCCTCCCCTTCGTTCTCGTCATCCCAGTCATCCTCCTCCTCCTCCTCTTCTTCCTCCTCCTCCTTCTCCTCCATCATCCCATCCTTCTACGCCAGCGGGCAAGAGGGGACGTTCCCACAGCTGCGACTTCCCCAGATGCGTCGTCGTTGCCGCCGTCGTCGTCGATTCCCAGAGGGCCCCCCCCAGGCCTGGTTCGAGCCGCCCTCCCAGGGGCGGCTCAAGGCGCTGCGGCTCCTGGAGCAGCCGGCGGCTGACGCCCACGCTCAGGACTCTTCGCCCTGTCGCTCTTGCGGGGAGGGCCTTGGCATCGCTCGGACGTGTGCATTATCCTTCGGCGAGGACCATCGAGGAGCATCCTTGATCATTTGGCGAAAAATACACGCACGATACCGAACAAAAACACCGGGAATGGACGTCCGAGCGATGGCGAGGGGCCGTGCTCCCGCCGAGGAGGCCCCTGTTTGGTAAGGCTTCTGGTCTTCGCACGGACAACCCCCCCAGCTGGCCCCCGTGGGCCTCCACAGGTCCCCCCCCAGGTGGTCCCGCTTGGCCTCAACAAGCCCTCCGAGCAGTCTGGGGCGGTGCGCCTCGGCCGGTGCCCCTGGGGCGCTCCGCGCAGCAGGGCTGGGGTGCTGCGACAGCCCCGGACTACTCAGGAGGAGAAAAAACACACAGACACAATCAATCGTCGATCCCCCAGAAAATATGGAAAAACATGGGAAGTGGGGGGGAAGACAGAAACACAGAATATATGGGAAAATATGGGGAACCCTTTTATTTGTGTGTATTTATTTGTGTGTCCCAGGGCCCCTTCATACTCGGGGAGCCTGTTGATGCCAGGTGGGACCACCTGGGGGGAGCTTGTGAAGGCCAGCCCTCGGGGTGGCTGTCTGTGCACCAAAGCCTCACCAAGGGGGCGGACTTGCTCGCGGGCGGTAAGCGTATCCGTATCCACGGCCTCGCGGGCGAGGCCCTTGGGCGGCTATCCCGTGGATACGGGTCATTTTGTCGCGGATACCCCGCGCGGAGCGTATCCATGCGGGCGCGTATCTGCCACGGTCAGGAAGTTTGGCTTAGCGTGTCGCGCCGCCGGTTCTGGCCTACCTCGATTCGGCGCGACACGCTATCCACGTCCCAGTCCCCGAGCGTCAATTTCCCAAGCCATTCCCGGCCTCCCGCCCCGCGGAGCGGTTCGACACGCCATCCGCTTGCAAAGCATGGCGTGTCGCTGGGGCTGCCGCCGCGACACGCTGAGCAAAAGTGCCCGACTGTAGGCCTTCGTACCGGCACCCCTCCTCGAGGCTGGGGGCCCAGGGGAAACGTAAGACTCGGGTTTGCGAGAACTCGGGCTTGCTGCGGTCCTTCCGAGAACCAGATGTATCACCTGTACCTGCCCCAATGGTTTTCGCCAAGTTAATTTTTTTACACCTGGACACACTTGGCTTAGGCAGCGGCCTAGAAACTTAAGCGCGTGCGAAGTTAGGTAGGTCGTAGGCCATCGGAAAGAGGGAACGAGGGAGAAGAGGATAGCGAAGGAGCAGGAGGAGGATAGCGGCGAGGGTTACAAGGCAATGCGCGCTCTGACACCAGGTCCTACCTTAGGTTCGCCCAAGCTGTCCACTTCCCAACGCCTTTAATGTGCCCAAGAAGTCCTCTTGCAGGCTCCTCAACCCACGCCCCCCCCCCCCAGTCAAATGACATCCCGCGTTGATGCCCCCCAGGCCCCCCATTGCAATCCCCCCGCGGGTTGCTACCGCATCACCCCCGTTGCCCCCTTACGCAAGCCCCCGCCCCCGCCAGTGTTCCCCCGCCCCCGTCCCCCCTCCCCTCTACCCCCGTTCCCCCCTTACGAAGGCCCTTTATTGTATGGGACCGCGGCACATATGCAGTTGTGGGGCCGCTGGTCGATCCGAGCTCTTTGGGCTCAAACCGAGGTTTTTCGCTGCCCGTGAGTCGGGCGTTCCTTTCGCGCTCGCAGGCTTCATCGCCACGTCGACCATGGTCTCCAGCGGGGCGGCTCCAGCTTCGCACGTGCAGCAGAGCCCCACGGACGGACAGCAGGCGCCGTCAGCGCTTGCGTGCAACCCTTCGAAGATCAGCCAGGTCGTCAGCATCTGCAGGTCAGTGTTCAATCGTATCGTGGCGGTCCTTTTCGGAAAGGTCGAGAACCCTCGCGCCACTGCTTCTGGGCCCGTCGATTCCCTCGAAGTCATGTACCCTGTGCCGCTGTCCGTGGACAGCGTCCCAACGCATGTTTTGGCGACCTGGATCTTGGGCCATTCCAGTTTCGAGCTGACGGACCTGTTGGAGCTCCATTCGAAAGACAAGTATGGCCTCCTCCGACTCTTTGTGTATGGTACGCAGATGTCACAGTACACGCATTTGAAGGACGAGATGCTCATTGAGCGCATCTTCGTGCGCTTCGCAAGCGACCAGGCCGAGAGGTTCGGCAACCGCCTCAGCACCGTGAGTGGCCAGTACCTCGTGGACGGCACGATCGATTGGCAGGGAGGCCCGTTCAATTGCTACTCCTTGACGTGGAGCAGTGGCGGCGTCCTTGCCATGGTGACTCATAGGGCGACTGGCGTTTCCACTTCCCCGAACGCCATGGCGGCCTTGCGGGTCACAAGGGAGTGGAGCTTTGTTGCGAATTGGCATGACCACGAGGCGGCCTTCATTTCGCCAGGTGGTTCGATTCATGTCAAGGTGGTCCACTTGTTCCCTAAGGGTCTTGTGACGGGCCCTTGGATGCTTCAGCCGATCGGGGCTCCCTCGACGTCGCTGTTCGCCCACTACCTCCAGAGGGCCAAGGATGCCGTTCTCGGGACAACTATCGCAGCATCATCCAGCTCGTCGGGGTCCTCTTTGATCACGGATCGCGTTCGGTCGAGGGCCCAGACGCGCGCGGAGAGCGTGGCCCGTGACCGTGTTTCTTCGGAGGGAAGGCGCTTGAGGCGCAGGACCGAGTAGACGTGCCAGTTCTGTATATATGGACATGCGGTGAGTTCCATGGCTGACCTGTTGATTTTTTAGTGGCTTGACGCGCATGGGGGCCTGAGGAGTCGCAGCAGGACGATGTCTGATCGCATGAGTGTAGTTCAGTGTACGCATTAGTGTTGTTATGTATCGTTCGCACACCGCGTCGTCGCATCGAGTTGATACGCCGTGTCGCGCACTCCTCAGGGAACCAATTTCTTTCGCACGCGCCGCTCTGCAGAACCCCATTGTCAGAGAGATGAAATGGGAGGCCTGCAACCTTCGTCAGGTATGGGTTTAGGGGGCGGGAGGGGAGAGGAGGTAATCCACGTGTGAGGTTCTCTTGTTCGGAATCGGCCGCTCTGCATGATCTCGTTTCGTGCTCGCTCAGCCCGCTTTCAGCCCGCAGGTCTGACCAGCCCTTCGCTAGTGTAGGATGTTCCTGCCTCGTCTTGCAGTCTTTGCGATCCTCGCAATCTGTGAGGGCGCGTTCCTGATGGTGGGTTCGCGCAGCAGTCCTTGGCGGCAGCGCGATCGTCCAGCTGCAGCCTTACAAACGAAAGTAAGAAAATGAGCACTTGCAAGACCACAGGGGCCTGACAGGATCAAGAGCTCATATCAACACAAATACAACGGGAAAGGGGGGAGGCAGGCAACGAGAGAGCGAGGGACGGAGGTTGCCGAGCAAGATCCGAGGCATTAAGATGCACCTCAGCAAAGCAAGACGCATCATAACGCGTCAGGGCATTTCAATAGGTGGCGACGTACAGCGTAGCACAGCGCAGAACGGCACAGCGTAGGACACGCAAAACCAGGTAGTAATATTTTACTCGTTGGCTTAACCTCACAATCGGAAATCATGCAAAACACCGGTTTAAACCAGGGTTCGCGGCGAGCGACCCGAGACCCAGATTGACGAGGTGAGACTTGGAAACGCGGGGGTGGGGGTGAGACTGAGCGATCAATGAGCCATGTTTCGATGCTCCTCGGATGCGCCCCAGCATTCACATGGCCAGCAGTGACTAGCGGCACCAGGCCGACCTCAGGGCCCCGTAGCTATTTGGGTTCAAGCTCTGTTGAGGTGTCTCCCTGCAGTTTCGCTCACACTTTGTCTTCCCACATCATGTCTGTCAAAAAGGCGGGTGCGTCCTCCAGCGCAGCTGCAACCCCTCCGCCGTCCAAGGGAAAGGACAAGAGTTCTCCTACGGCGAATGCTGCTCTCACACCGTATGCCGAGAAGCTTCCCAAGTACCCCAAGCAGGCTGATTGGTTTGCTGACGAGGAGGCGTCCACTGACCACAAAGGCCTTCAGAGGATCATCTCTGCATGCCAGCGCGACCGCCGCTTGGTCCGCATCCTGGTCGGCAAGTTGGACGACGCAGAACAGAACTTGGTTACGTCGCGTGATGTCGCCCGAGAGGAGATGATGAGTCCGAAGCCTTCGAGAGTGGAGACGGTGCCCGACTACGTCCTGGCATCGTGGCTTTCGAAGCACTCCAAGCTAACTTCAGCGGACCTGATCAGCGTGAAGTCGAAGGATTCTCATGGCTTGGTTCGCTTGTTCACATTGGGCACGCAGTTGGCGCCTACCCTCCGCCTCAAGGACGAGATGTGGATCGCGTCCGTGTTCAGCAGAGTGGCGACCGACCAGCACTCGAAGTTCGGGGAGCGCTTGAAGGGCGTCGGGGCTGAGTGCTTGATCGACGGCAGGGTCAACTATGATTTGATCGGCTGCTACGCTCGTACGTGGGATGCAGATGGCGTTCTCACCGCACTGACGCACAAGCAGACTGGCGAGCAGGTGGCGATCGACCCCTCCGAGGTGCGCATCACCAAGAAGTGGAAGTTCCTTGACAATAACCTCGACCACGGCGCGGCCTTCCAGCAGAGCGACAACTCGCCGCCGTGGAAGGCCGACACTTTCTTCAGCAAGGCTTCTAAGCAGGGCCCATGGAAGCTCGACGTCATCGAGACCACCAGCAACAAGAAGTTCAAGGAGCACCTCGACACGATCATGCAGTCCTGGGAGAGTGACCGCGCGAAGGTCGTCGGCAGCCCAACGAAGTCTTTGCAGTCTGAGTTGGCGGAAGCGGCCACCGAGAACAAGCGCAAATCCATGGCCGACAAGCAGAAGTCTGCGCTGGAGAACCGCCTTCGCAACGCGAAGCGTGCGAGGGAGTCTTGCCCAGAGCTCACGGCGAGCCCCAAGGCTGCTTCAAAGCTGAAGGCATAGCTTCGGAGCTTTGCCGAGGGCAAATCTCGCTGCCTCCCGAGCTTGGTTTTTTTTTTCAGACGTCCA